GTGAACCTCTCCCCATCTTCACTGCACAGAGACTCTCCCCATCTTCACTGCACAGAGACTCTCCCCATCTTCACTGCACAGAGACTCTCCCCATCTTCACTGCACAGAGACTCTGCCCATCCGGGAGGCTCTTTTAAAACCCAATCATTCTGCCATGTCTTTTGTTTTATCAATACAGAACTTTTCCAGTCTTTTGTTGCCCCTGTCCCAGGGTTGTAAGCAGAAGCAAACCATATCCTTGTTACCATCATCATAAACACCGAATGGGAAATTTTTCTGAGGGCAGATTTATTCTTCATATGCTATATCAAATATAAGTCCAGCATGGAATTTGATTGAAGAAGCAATCAGAAGAGTACGACACTGTCTTATAATGTAAAGCCATAGCATACAGTCCATCTTAACAAAAGGCATATTATATATTATATATTGTATTATATGAAAAATATGTCTTGGTGTTGCTTTCAGTCAGTGGTGCATGTATATATGTGAAAACAAAACATTCACTCCTTCACAGGAAGGAGTTATGAACTTGCTTTTCATTAATGCTCTAATGCAAAAATAATATTTCAACATAACATGAAAAGCAATAATAATAATAATAACACAATCATCACTTACATTTTTAAAGTACCATTATAAATGGGAAAATTCTTAGTTAGGAATAATGTCACAGGGCTGCTGAATCTACTTTCAAAATGCAAAAATAACATCATTATGTTCCAGTGTCAAACTCCATTACAATTCTTTTGATTTGCTAAAGCCTTAAATTGATTAGGGTTCCACCAAATGCAAGTCAGAGCCTTACAGTGTACAGGAATGTAAAAGACACACTCCAGAACCATAGAGAGAATGCAGGCAATAGTGGTCATTCATTTAATCACCTACCCAAAGATTGTTACTTCATCTAAATTTTTGTCGGAAATTCTAGAGTTTTTACTTCTCACAAACTCAGCTGTCGTCAGTCTTACCAAATCCCAGCTTCTGGTATTCTTCTAGGGTAGATAATTTCCTGGCTTTTTGTACTTTGAGCTCTCGATATTCGCACCTTTTGCTAAGCCATGATCTTTTCAGTTGACTTCTCTATCCGACTTGCTACCTTTCCACACGACTCTCTTTTTCCAGTCCATCACCATATTTTTGAAGCCATCATATTGCTCATCAGATCTTCCCTGCCCACCTAGTACATATTCTTTGCATGCATCTCCTGCTGAAGGAGCGATTAATACATCTTCAGTTCTCATCTTGATTCCTGCAAAACATCCCTGCAACTACCGACTCGCTGTGGAAAACTGCATTCCACAAACCCTGTCTAGCTTTATTCTTCTATGCTGGGCAGAGAGGCAGAGTGGTGGCTCTGAGGTTAGGTATCTGTGCCAGCTACCGGAAGGTTACAGGTTCAAATCTCATGAATGCCTGGAGTGATTCTACTCCATTGGGCCCTTGAGCAAGGCCCTTAACCTGCAATTGCTTCATCCTGGGTATGACATTAATCCAC